AAACTTAACACAGTTAAATTTAATATTGCTTTAACAAAGACTATACTATGAAGTTTTCAAATTTTTTGTTTTGTTTACAAAATTGGGGATTAGCGGAAAGAGTTGTATGTCACTAAAATGTAGATTTTCTTTGGTTGACTGGCAAATTACCAATTAATAATAATAAAATTGTAAAATTAGTTTATAGTCTAACCTCTCTAAATGCAACATATACAAATCAGTTGAAATTATACATTTAGAGAAGTTTGCATTTAGAGAGAACCAATCAAATTGCAGTTTTTAATATTTGATTTGCAGAATTGAGTAACATAATTTAATACTAAATTTTGATTGGCTATGTGCATTTAGAGAGGTTAGTATAATATAAAAAATTTTTTGAGTAAACTTGCATTTACAGAATATAGAACATGCATTTAACACTAATGATTTTATACAGCCAAGACAAAAACATGCATTTAGGAAGGTATTGCATTTACAGAGGTTGTATTTAGGAAGGTTTGACTGTATTAATTTTCAAAATACAATTAAACCTCATAGTTACTCTCTATATAAGCATATCATATAAAAATTCTCTTTATAAGCACATTTCATTTATTTTAAAACCAACTATTATAAACATATAGAAATACCTCTTTATAAGCACATTTTAGTAAAATTCTCTTAACAATCACACAAATCTTTATCCTGAGAGGTGTGATTATAGAAAGGTTAGACTGTATTATCAAAAAATAGATTATAATTATATAAAATATTTATAGAAAAAATTTAATTTTTTATATAAATATTTTATATAATTACAAAGTCTTTTTTAATAATATTTTAAAAACTATCAAACCAATTTTTACCAGTTTTACTACTGTTAGATAGCTCTACTTAGAACCCCAAAAATAGATAGAATCTAAATATATCTAATATTTGATTTGATTTGAGTTTAAAAACCCCTATTATAGCCTATCCATAAAAATTTAATTGGCTTTAATTGCTATTCTGTTGATATTCCTGTAAAGTTCTTTTTTAATAATAAAAAGAACAATCTCCTGAGTTAAGCAACATTTATTCTGGATCTTGCATTTGTAATTGCCATGTTAAAAATTGCGGAGTAACTTATTGTGATCCGGCAACAAGCATGCCAAGTGAGCGCTTGTTTTCGGATGCAGGAAAATGTCATGAATGCGAAGAAACATTGTTAAAAGTTATTTGAAAGAATGCTATTTCTAAACATAATATCGATTTTATTATCATTATTCCTGTTATATAAGATTAATGTATAATGATTTTATAATGTTAATTGGCGAAGTAAATTGATTACGTAGCGATAATATTATAACTGATAATTGATAAATTTAAAGTTCTTTTATGTATTTTAAAAACTCGGTCAAATTTTTTACAATGCTCGAAATTCTAAAGTTTATGACCAATCGATGCTCAAAACTCATCTATTGCTGACACTTACAGTTGATAAATTTAATACAGTAATATATATATTGTAATAATTATAATTCATTTTTTTGATATTTTAAAATCGACCATTCGAATATTCGGCCAAAATTTTCACCGATACTCGAAAATCTAGAGTTTTCATCGATTTTAATTTTTAATGATAAAAATATTTAACTCGAGCTTTTTTTAACGTTAACCCAATTAACAATTATATATAAAGCTTACCATCATCTATAGATAAACTTTTTCCGAATGATGTAGGAATCAGTGTGCGGCATAATGATTACCTATAAAATTAGTATGATGTAAGTTTCACCTTTTTCGGGCAAAATTCACATCTTTTTTTTTTTTTTTTTTTTTGAAATTTCGAAATTTCAGCAAGAATGATTTGGACTAATGTAGGAAATATATCAGCGTCGAATATAGATATTTCACAACTAAAACCAATTCTCGAAAGATTCATGACATATCCAGATTCGAGAATTAAAGATTTCTTAGTTGAACGTGAAATTCGAAGAATCCAAAATCAAGCACAAATATTTAAAAATTTAACGATATCAACTATTGATCGAAGTAAATCTTTGACTAAATCTTACGAATTTTTACTTAAGGGATTTGAAAAAAATAAACTTTCATTGCGTGGTTTGACAGCTTTTCATCAAAATTCAAATTCCATCAATTCACTTTTAAATTCAGAATTAACTATTACAAAAATGTTTCAAGAATGTGAAAGAATTCGTACGGCTTATTATGATATATCTAAAAATTTAGCAAATATTTCGGATAATTTAGAAGAACGAGTACGTGAATTTAAGATTCAGAAATTCGATCTTGACCGGGAAGCTTTAAATTTGCAATCTGAAGCAAAATATGCACAGGTTGAATGTGTAGTCTTAGGTGGCTCTTTTGGAGTATTTGTTGGTATTATTGCAGGAATTGGTGTAGGCACTTATACACTTCCATTTGACGGCGGAGTGGTGTTTTTGTCAACTATTATTGCAAGTATGGGGGCAGGTTCTTTGTTCGGTCAAGTATTAGAAGAAAAGATTCATAAATCAGCTCGACATAAAATTGCAAAAGCGGATAAAATTTACGAAAAAGTAGATTACGTTAATAAGGTCATTGAAGATGTTGAATTTTTTAAATCTGGTGTTCAGAAATTCGAAAGGTTTTGGATTGGACATGTTGAGCATTTTACGAATGTACAAAAAATAATTGAGAGTTCCTCCAAAGGTAATATTGACATGAAACCTATCAAAGTTCAGACCATTCTTAATGATTGGAATAAGGCAAAGAATTCTTTATATAATTATGGAATCAGTGTAGAAAGTTTTCGAAATTGATATTTGACATTCAAAGTAAGCAATGCTAGGTCAAATAAAAAAAATGAAACATAACCGATTCGAATCGAAGAATTTTCTTAAGCATTTTAAGTATGAATTCAGGCTTGATATGATTTTATTTATTTTGACAAACGAAATATTCAAAATTTAAAGAAACAGTGACACTAATGTTTAATAATTATCTTGTGTTCGAATTCTTTGTCAAATAATCGAATATGCCTAATATACGTTATTACGTTACCAATTTTCAAGACTGACTGATTGTCACTATATATGTTGACACCAGTTAGCGTTGCGTTATTTCGCGATTTATGGC